AATATAATATAATATAATATAATATAATATAATATAATATAATATAATAATATGTGACCATGGACCACAAAACCAGCCATAGGCGTCAATATTTGGAAATTGAGATTTAAACATCATAAATAAATTGATGTATGGTTTGTTAGGATAGGAAAATATCTGGCCAATATACAACTATTTAAACATCTGGAATCCGAGGGTGCAAAAAAATCTAAATACTAAGAAAATCACCTTGAAAGTTATCCAAATTAAGTTCTAAGCAATGAATATTACTAATCAAAAACTAAGTTTTGATATATTTACGGTAGGAAATTACTTAATTACTTAATGGAACATGATCTTTACTTAATATCCTAATTAAATTTTGACATTAAAAAAATCGATAATTTTGACCCATACAATGTATTTGTGGTTGTTGCTACAAATATACCTGTGCTACTTAAGACTGGTTTTGTGGTCCAGGGTCACATATAATATAATATAATAATAACACACTGAGTGTCTTTTGCATATTGTTCCAGTTTGCAAAAAATATTGTTTCAGTTTACTAATATAATATAATATACATTGAAACATCTGCAAATAAGCAAAAAAAAAACAAAACATATTAATTGGACATTTTATCAGTAATGTATCGTATTGTGGACAAGAGGTGTCTAGTATTGCTTTTTCAATGTCATATTGGAACACAGTGGTACATTGTGAAGACAGACCTCGTTCCTAGATAATTAATTACCATACGAATGTATTAGTTTTGTCACTGTGGAGCCATGCAAATGGTCTTCAAGTTCTTCAGAAACAAATTACTGAACAAAAGGCTTAAGTTGCACTATAGAATCTTACACAGAACTTATTGACTAAAGGTGCAATATACTGACATTGTAGGGGTAATGAGAAAATGCATGTATTGGGACACACAAACCACTCTAGGTAGGTCATTAAAAATCAAAGACATATACAGCAAGTTCAAGAAAAAAACGATTGAGTTATCGGAGAATGAAACAGTGAGGCGTGGGTGTTCCTATAGATCGACTGGTACAGCATTGTGCTAACAATGCCAAGGTCATGAATTTAAATCCCAGGGGACACACATACACTAAACGTAATACTTGAATGCATTGCAAAATGCTTGGAATAAAAGTCTGTCAAATGCATAAATGTAAATAAGTAAGAGGCGTACGTGTGATAACAGTTTCAGTAACAGGCTGGCTCCTTCCCTGGTCTTTCAAGGCCACCAGGTTGACAGTGTATTCTTCCCCAGGCCGCAGCCCTGTTTGGTGGAATGACGTGATGGTACTGGGTAGTTGTGCTGTCATCCCTCCATCATTGTCCTTTGACGTGCACAAGACACAAACACATACGAAAATATCACATTTCACAATTCTGGCATCAGAATGCAGGCAGGCATGCAGGAACAAAGAGTACACCGCTCAAATCAACAGAAATTGTTTTCAGGAGGCAGTTGGCTGTGTAAAAAAAGAAGCTGCTGGAATTTCAGCGTAGATGCATTTCGCCAGATGTTTGATGTATTGAATCAAGCCTTGTTTTTTTCCCAACTCGCTTAGCAGAGCACTTTGTGAGTTTGATGCATCGCACCCCACAAGACATCAACTAACCTCCCCTGGAACGCTTATGAAATCAAGCAATATCAAAGTGCGAGGGGGTTTCAGAAGATGTGACTGACTCGGTGAACGCACACTTGTCCCTGCCCTCGCATCCATTACGATATTGTGGAAAATCAGTATGGCTCTTACGCTTTGTAGGATTAAATGCGCAGAGGATAGGACTTCCACTTCTAATATGATTTCCCCAGTGGCGTACCAGAGTTGGCTCTCATGCACAGTACTCTTAGCAGACCCTCTCACTGATGGAAGATTGAAGTACACCATGATCCCCCCACCCTCGACCGTCAGTTTCTTTGTATTCACTTCCTATTCTCTCGAAAGAGGCCTTTGACTTTGTTTCCAAGTTATTTTCTTCTTTTAGTCCAAAAATGAAGAATTTATGAAACTCACTTTGCCAGGACGTAAGCTATGAATTTAGCTGAAAGCTAAACAGTGGGATGAGACCCAGACTTCCCAGCACAGGACAGAAACTGCACTCTTCAAGGGGTCCTAAAATGTGTGGCTTTTACTTGGCTGAGCTCTGTCTGCAAATAGATTTGCCAAATCATCTCCTGGCTGAAGGAAATCCTTTATGTGAACCATTTAAGCAAACCATAATCCCCAATTTACCAGTTTCCATTACACACAAGCACACCTCTGATATGTCTTTTGTTGGAGGGGAAGAGTGTGTTTACAGATTCAATGGCTGGGTCTACAACCAAACGAAATAAACAACGCCTCAGGGGCTCTGATGCGTATTTGTTATTATACATAGGGAGAGATGTTTCACCTCGATGTGAAATGACAGGTATGTTGCACAGGAGACATGCTGTTTTGCATAAGGCAATGTCTCCCACAGCTATTTCATAATGAGGCACCGAGCACAAGCTCCACATTTTGCTGGCATGCAGGAGCTGGACGTTTTTCTTCTTCCTGTGAGGGTGCTGAAAATGTTTTGTCCTTTCTCCAGATGGAACATTTGAAAGGGGATTAGTGAGAACATCTCTGCCTGGATGTATTATGTTTCTGCCATGATGCAGAATAATTCTCTTTCAAACAAGGACAGATTGACATTTATCATGCTGAGAGGCACCTGTCAGAAACCGAATCATCTTTGGCTTCAAAAAGCATTAATTTATCAGTTGTGCACAGATGTCTGTCAAAACCTTACATTGCAGTTTTCTTGTTTACTGTTGTGGAAATACAATGCGGCAGATGTTGAAGTCCACAAATGCTACCAGATTCCAGAAACCCCTTAGTGTTGTTACGCCAGAAGCTACGCAGGGGCAGAATCAAATGAAGTGTGACCTTCTAAGGAAAGCCTTACCTTGGGAATGAAGCTTATTTCCCAACCATCAAACAAGTAGTCTAAGGGTTGCCACTGAACCTCCACGGATGTCTCCATGATGGATTTGAAGAGTAAACCGTCTGGATTCGAGAGATCTAAAAGGTACAGATTGATGCATTATTGGCCTCCGTCCTGTGTGTGTTCAATAAATCAACATTTTTCTCAGCCAAGGTGGATTTTTACTCTCTGCTTTTAGCTCTGTAAAAAGAGAGCAGTGGATACAGAGAGGTTCAATATTCAAGATTATTTTAGTTTTCCCAGATATTTATATATACATGCAATGCATCTTAAATCAGTTTACATTTATTGTATAAAGGATGCAGTTGGGAAACCTGAAGAATAGAAGTCAGGAAATAGCATTACAGTCATTTCACAGTGTACACAAGTGAATCTCCAGCCTTTTCAGTGTCAACAATAGTAAGAGCCTCCAGAGGATTTGAAAATAAGATCATGGAAACAGTAATAAAACGCTATCTCTGCTTGAAGTGTTCTGCTGCGTCCTTGTATATGATGACATACAAAGGTTTGCAAGTAAGTGATAATGTGCGGTCATACAATAAATAGTACTAAATAAACTCTGACAGTAGTCAGTAGTCTCTGTCGCTCTCCTTCACACTAACCTACTTACACTACTGTTCAAAAGTTTGGGTTAAGTAGATTTTTTTATTTAAAAGAAATTAAAGCTTTTATTTAGCAAGGATTTAATTGATCAAGATTTAAAATGAGATTTAAGACATTTAAAATTTTACAAATTTCTATTCATATAAGTGCTGTTTTTAACATAATAAACATTCTGAAAAAAAAACACATCACAGGAATAAATTACATTATATAATATAGAAAAATAGAAAAGAGTTATTGTAAATTGTTATAAGATTTCACAATATTACTGTGTTTTTACTGTATCTGTCTCTTTTCTATTTATTTCCTTCCTTGCTTTCTCTCTCTATTCATTCCGTCCTTGCGATGTGTTTTCCTATTGATAACTGCACAGGATTTTGGCTATTGCAAGCATATCCTTCAATTGCAGAAAATGGGCAATTATGTTCAACATTTGTCTCATCTTTGTTACATTACAGAAATTATGGCTCCACTAGTTGAATATCTCAGAAGTCTAAGCAAATCCTTGATGCCTGCCAGATGCCACATGCAAATAGCAATTTCTTTCAAATTCATTAAGTTTCAATTATCTTTATTAACTCTGAATTACCTGCAAAAATGTAAGAGACAGAAGGCAAGTCAGTGGTGCTTTCTGATCGTCTGTAGAATGCCCAACTGGCTTTTCACAAATAATGGAATGTTTGTTATGATGTGTTCTATTCTAGGCTGAGGCATTTTGCTCAAGGCTGACAAGCAGTGACTGTATACGAAAGGCCCTCTAGCATTTTGCCAATCTGGCATTGCTACTCACCAGGTGGTGGATGTCTAATCATATCCTGTTGGCAAAGACAGCCAGTTGTTCCTCTGAAGAACTAACATGAGGTATGTGTGTGTGTGCAAATGGGACTGTGAAGGAGTGTGTAATCTCTCATCCAGGTCTATTAAACCTGGGTCATGCTTGGGTAAAAATGATGCACTTACAATGAAAATGTCACGTTCAAGATCTATGCAAAACACCTCAGACATTTCAATAGAAAAATAGCCTTATCTGACCAAAACACCAAGGCTATTTGAATAAAAGAGCTCTCAGGAGAGAAGTGCACTCACAGGTGGAGACTAAGGTGTTCATTGGGGCACTTATGATGTTGTCGATCACCGCGTACACATTGATGTTGTACTCCAGACCCGGCCCCAAGCCTTTGATGGTGGTGTTGGTAACATTTCCTGGGACTCTGATCTCTAGTTGGACTCCACCAGGGGTTGTGGGGGCGTAAGTGATGAGATAGTCTGTCAGGATCACAGGCCCCTCCCATTCCAGATCAATGGTGTTCTCTGACACTCCCCGAACTCGCAGATTCATAGGAGGTGACACTGTGTATAAAAAGGCAGATGATATCACATGAATATGTATTATTCTGATAAAAAAGCAATCATTCTGATGAGACGGGTATGGAAAATTCTCTGATGTGATCTAAAGCAAATCACACTACAAGCATTTTACAACTTTTGTTCACAATTTCCTGGAAGGAACCCAGTTTTGAACAATTTTTAAGATTTTAGAACATTTCAATGAGGATTTCGTTTCGTGAGGATGGATGGATGGAAGGATGGATGGATAAATGGATAGATAGATAGATAGATGGATAGATGGATAGATAGATAGATAGACAGACGGATAGATGGATAGATAGATAGATAGATGGACAGATAGATAGATAGATAGATAGATAGATAGATAGATAGCCCAGTGTTTCATTTTGTTTGGTTTTGGTTTCGGCTTCGGACAACAATTTTCATTTCAGTGCATCCCTGATGGATGGATGGATGGATGGATGGATGGACGGACGGACGGACAGACAGACAGACACATACAGAGAGATAGATAGATAGATAGCCAAGTGATTTATTTTGTTTGGGTTTGGTTTCGGCTTCGGACAAGAATTTTCATTTCAGTGCATCCCTGATGTATGGAT